CCTCAGCCTTCCAAGTAGCTGAAACTACAGGCACGCACTACCACGCCCAGCTAGTTTTTGATTTATTGTAGAGATGAGGTCTTGCCAAGTTTCCCAGGGGGGTCTCGAACCCACGGTCTCAGGCAATCCACTCACCTCAGCCTCCCAAAGCGTGGGATTACAGGCTGAGCCACCAAGCCTGGCTGAGATCTGACTCTTTAAAAAAAAAAAAAAAACTAAGTAAGCTAACATTTCTACCAGCATATAGCATTAGCATAGTTTCTAACAAGATCTTCAAAAAGGCACTGTTTGAGAACCCAACCCCTTGTCTTCTAATCCATGGTATAATTCCTTAACATAAAAAAGCTATTCCAAAGGTTAAATAACTTGGTTAGATTCTTACTAAAAATCAAACACAGTTTCTCCAGAAAGGCAATATAAGGTGAATCTTTACAGACAAAGTAGCTGGAACTCACAGGTCCTCCCTTGACATTTATTTTTTGTTTTTTGAATTGGGATATCACTCTGTCACTCAGGCTGAAGTGCAGAGCACGATCACAGCTCACCGCAGCCTCGAACTCTTGGATTTAAGGGATCCTACCACCTCAGCTTCCCAAGTAGCTAGGACTACAGGTGTATTCCACCATACCCAGATAATCTTTATATATTTTTGTAGACACAAGTTCTAGCTATGTTCCTAGGCTGGTCTTGAACTCCTAGACTCAAGTAATCCTCCCGCTTCAGCCTCCTAAAGTGCTGGGATTACAGGTGTGAAGCACCATACTCAGCCTTGATTTATTTTACCCTTAAGGATTATCTATCACTGGTTTTTACTTTCACTGCCTGCTGGACTCAGGGACAGTGTTACCACTTCAACTCTTGTCCAGGTTGAAATACTTTGGTGTGAATTCATATTCTTATTACAAATCATAAACTTAGAAGCCTCTAAAATTCCATTTAAATATAAAGTAACACAATGATTTAAAAAAGAAAATATACTTCCTGTTTTATGTGATTAATCTTACTGTGTCACATTGAAAATTGCTCATGTGATAAGGTTTTTTTTTTTTGGTACTTATTTTCTTTACTTTATTGAGGTGAAATTCACATACCATAAAATAAGCCATTTGAAAACAGACAATTCTGTGGCATTTAGTATATTCACAGTGTTACATAATTAATTAGCAATTCCATCTGGTTCATCACTGCAAAAGGAAAACCCTGTCCCCATTTGCAGTCACATCCCCACCCCCTGTCCCTCAGGCCCTGGCAACCACTGATCTGCATTCTTTGTTTTGAGTCAGAGTCTCACTGTCACCCAGGCACACTCATGGCTACTGAAGCCTCGGCCTGCTGGGCTCAGGTGACCCTTTCACTTCAGCCTTCCAAGCAGCTACAACCACAAGTGTGTGCTACCATGCCCGGCTATTTTTTTTTTTTTAATGTATTTATTGTAGAGATGAGGTCTCGCCAAGTTGCCCATGCTGGTCTTGAACCCCTGCATTCAGGCAATCCTCTCACCTCTGCCTCTCAAAGTACAAATGATACAGATTTTTCAGATCTTCCTGGGCTTTGAGAATGTCAGCTCAATGGGTCAGCCAGCCAAGCCCTAGAGAGGGTCAGCTTGATTGGCTGGTAAGTCTAGCACCAGAAGTGTTGGCTCTAATGGGCTGGTAAGCCAAGCTCCGAGAGTGTTGCTAATTTGGTGGGCTGGCAAGCCTAGCCCCCAGGGTGCTGGCTCTAATGTGCTGGCACGCCAAGCCCTAAGACAGTTGCAGCCCCAGAAGTGTCTCAGCTTCAGATCTCACCTTCTACCAGCAGCTCTCCTGGTTCAGATGGCTGCAACAATCTTCTGCAGTTCTTCAGGTCAGGGCTCTTGTCTCGTGCCCAGGAGGAATGAGAGACACGGACAGCCGGAAAATGAGAAAAGCAGGGTTTATTGATAGGACAGAAAAGCTCCTAGTGAGAGGCTTCCCGAGGGGCTTGCCCTGGTTATTTATAATCTAAGGTTATTTAAGAAAAGGATTTGGTCCTTTTCTTAGGATTTGGTCATTCAGTAACATTAGATTCCTGATTCTCAAGCCATAGTAATTATCAACATAATCTTAGTAAACAAATAAATGTCTATTGAATATGTTTTTCTGTCTTCATTTTCATATATTCTAGTTTGGTGTAATACTTAAAAGGTATTAGTCTTTTTTTTTTCCCTAGACAGAATATCAATTTGTTGCCCAGGTTGGAGTACAGTGGTGTAATCATAGCTCACTACAGCTTGACACTCCTGGAACCAAACAGTCCTCCTGCCTTGACCTCTCAAGTAACTGGGTCTATATTCAGGTGCCAGTATGACTGTTCTTTTTTTGATTTTTTTTTTTGTAGAATCAGGATCTCACTTTGTTGCCCAGACTGGTTTCAAACTACTGGGTTCAAGCGATCCTTCTGCCTTGGCCTCCGGATTGCTGGGATTATAGTCATGAGCCACTGTGCATGGCCGATTTGGTCTTTTAATAAGAATTGGTTAGGCTTCGGCGCGGTGGCTCATGCTTATAATTCCAGCACTTTGGGAGACCGAGGTAAGGTGATTGCCTGAGCCCAGTGGTTCGAGACCAGTCCAGGCAACTTGGCAAGACCTCATCTCTACAGTAAATAAATAAATTAGCCGGGTGTGGTGGCACATGCCTGTAATTCCACCTACTTGGAAGACTGAGGTGGAAGGACCATCTAAGGAGCAGGTCAAGGCTGCAGTAGTCATTAGTGTACCACTGTGTACCTGGGCGATAGGGTGAGACCGCCCCCAACTCAAAAAAAAAAGAATTGGTTCTCTCTGTTCCTAGATAATAGCAATGGTTTAGTGTGACTGGTTTTCTAATTCCATTTATACATTTAATTGTGTCTGTTTTTGTCTCCCAGAGTGTGTACTTGGGACATACATTTCAGTGGTCACATTGTCAGCACTATAAAAATTGATTGAATCTATCCCTATAAGAGATAGATTTTTACTCTGCTCTGTCTACTTACATCCTAGGGCATTTCTTGGAAACTTGATAGTGAAGAAAATACTTTGGATTCACAAACTAGTGCAACACGTGGAATGGATCCAGATGGAGTCTTATCAAAACTGGAAAACTTACCTAAGACAAATACTGCGAAAAAGAAGTCCTTTGCACCTAAAGATTTCATGTTTCAGCCACTGGATGGTCTGAAGAATTACAGAGTAACACCCATGAGTCCCAGGAGTGCCAGTGCTTTCTTGACACCCAGTTGCACCTGGATGCCTTCCAGTACAGAAGTGTAAGACTATATAATGTTAACACTGAGTCCCTTGCTAAGATGGATAACAAATGCCTTTCTTAGATTTAGCCTGTGCTTCTTAGAGTTACTATTTAGTGAATTATGTTGATAACAAATCATGAAAATTTGTTCTCATTTATTTATTTTGAGTGAGATTTCACTCTGTTACCCAGGCTGTAGTACAGTGGCACAATCACAGCTCACTGCAGGCTTGACTTCCTGTGCTCAGGTGATCCTTCCGCCTCTGTCTCTTGAATAACTAGGACTGCAAGTGTGCGCTATCAGACCCACTTAATTATTTGAGGCTGAGGTGGAAGAATTGTTTGAGCCCAGCATGTTGAGGCAATGATAGCCGTGAGCATACCACTACACTCCAACCTAGGAGACAGAGTGAGACTCCAACTCAAAAATAAAAAAAATTAAAAAAAAATAGCCAGCCATGGTGACTTGCATCTGTAGTTCCAACTACATGGATGGCTAAGGTGGATGGGTCCCTTGAGCCAAGCATGTTGAGGCTGTGGTGACCATAAGCGTGCCTGGGCAACAGGGGGAGACTCCAAAAAAAAACCCAAAACAAACAAAAAAAAAGATTGTTTATCCCAGGTTCATAAAAAGCAAGACAATTTTGAAACCTCTCAATTAGCTGTCTGGAGTTCATGTTTCACGAAGTATATTATTGCTATTTCTTTTAGTGATAAAACTCAAGAAGCAACCAAAGAAATTTCGGCACAAAAAGCTAAAACTCACTCAACCACCAGAGTGCAGCAAGTTTCAAATCCATCGCAGCATCCTTTGGGCTCTCTCACAGTTTGGAGGGAAGGTATTGTATTTTGATTAAATTTGTACTTAAACTTTTCTGGAGTATTACTTCTCAGAGATTTCTTTAGAGCTTTATTTCACCATGTAGTTCAGGGATGTGAACTCAGGGTCAGGAAAGATGGTTAAGCATGGATAAAGATAACCGGAGAGAATTGGAATGAAGAATACAGACTGAGAAGAGAGGGGAAATAAATATCAATTCAAAGAAATGAAAAATACTGAGAGCCCCCTTGAGGAAATGTGAATGAGGTGATTGAGGCTGAAAGAAGATTTTAAAATTCAACATTGAAAAAAGTTTAAGGATTTTTAAAATGTCATTTCAGGAATTGCTGCTTTGAAATATATATTATTAGCCAGGCTTAGTGGCTCAGCCTGTAATCCCAGCACTTTGGGAGGCTGAGGTGAGTGGATTGCCTGAGCCTACGGGTTCGAGACCCGCCTAGGCAACTTGGCGAGACCTCGTCTCTACAATAAATCAAAATATTAGCCGGGCGTGGTAGCGCACGCCTGAAGTTCCAGCTACTCGGAAGGCTGAGGCGGAAGGATCGCCGGAGCCCAGGAGGTCGAGGCTGCGGTGGTCAGGATCGGCCACTGCACTCCAGTCTGGGCGACAGAGTGAGACTCCAACTCAAAAAAAAAAGAAAAAGAAATATATGTTATGTTTAATTTGCAGAACATGTCTTAGATCAAGGTGAAGCTACTGCTAAAAGTCCCACTGACCTGCCAATAAAAGAAGCCCCGTCCCTTGATGTGAGTGAAGGCCGGCCGACTCAGCCACAGCATGATGTGCCATATTTCAGGTTTGTCTGTTTCTTGTATAATAATTTTGTATTCATGTTTAGACACTTAAAACCAAAATCAGAATTTTTTTTTTTTTTTTTTTGAGTGGGAGTCTCACTCAG